AGGAACAGCTGGCTGAGTGATGGGGCCTGGCAGCTCACTGACGCCCAGCGCGGGTTCCTCCCGAAGACCTGGGGCTCGCCGTCTCAGCAGCCGTGGTTTTGACCATCAGCGAGTCACACGTGCAGCCAAAAGATGTCTGTCCTTCGGGCAGGTAGAGATTGGCATCCTTCCTTCTCTGAGGCTGGTGTGTGTGTCTCCCAGGTGGAGAACATGCCCGGCTGGCGCCTCAGGTGCACACTGGTGCTGTTTTGTCACTTTGTAGGTAATAATGTTCCCCAAGAACTGGGAAGAATGTGCTTTTTTTTCTCTTACAACAGTCATGACGCTCTCTAGACAGTGTTCTTATGACTGCTTGTTGTTTTTAAATATCTTTAATAAATACCTCTATAAAGATATTTTGTTTTATTACTCTTTTTTGGGGGGGGGCAGCACTGAGGATTGAACCCAGGACCCTGTGCACGCTCAGCATGAGCTCTGCCATTGAGCTACACCCTCCCCTGCCCCCTTATCACTGTTTGTTTCATAATGAATGAGGATTAAGGGTTATTGTTCAGAGTAGATGGTCAATAAATTATTTTCACTGAGTAAATAATTAACTAACAGTATGACTAGATCACCTTCTTTGATTAACAGTAAAAACTCAGTGACATAAATTAAACATGAGACAGAGAAGCCACAACAAAACCACACACGGTTTTCACCTTTTCCACCCACACAGTTAAACTTCCCACGTTGCAGACTGTCCGCTGAGGTGCGGCGAGGCTGCAGCAAGCACGCGAGGGCCGGGAGGAGCCTCCGGAGGGCGACGAGCAGCGCCCACAGGGCAAACAGGCTGGAGTCACCACGGCCAGCAGTTTCCACAAATCAGCCCAGCAGACCAAATTTATCTTGTACGTAAGTTAAATTCAAACAGCAGGCTTTCCTCGCCTTTCTCACACAAAAGCATCAGTCCGAGTGAGTTTATTTTCCTTCCTGTTTATTTCGAAGTTACGTAGACACAGCCACCGATGGAGACAGAATCGTGGTCACTAAGTTCACTTTCATGACCTGCTCACAAAGACCAGGCTGGTTCTGAACTGGAAACGCTCACACCCGCGCGTGCCTAGGCGTTCACACGCACCCACAGGCGTGCACGCGGGATCAGTTGTGCCGGCAGCAAGCAGTCAGAGCCTGAGACGGCGCCAGAGTGGACGGGGGAGGCCCTGGTGGCATCAGCACGCAGACTGCAATTAGGCCGGCGTGGAGCTATTAATCACGCCGCGTACCAGGAGAAGGCTGGCGGGCGGGGGTCAAGGTCCCGCAAGTGAGGGTATTAGCCATGGATGTGACACGGGGTTGTTTTCCAACCTGCTCATTCAAGAACTAATTGGTAGGTCAGGAAATTGCAGACACTCATCCGAACGAGCTCGGAAAGGAGCATGAGAAAAGGGCAAAGTTTCGGCACGAATGTAGGAATTCTCCGGCTTTAAATGCCATATTCTTTGTTGCTTGACATATTCACATTATCCCAGAGGCCATTTTAGTTGGTCTCCAGCTGTGAAAAAGACAACATCACATCTGTGGTGTCAGGTGGAGGCAAACACAACAGGAAAAAAATTAATTGAAAAATCTTGTTCAGATATTTTGTGAAGAAATTAATAATGCGCTTGCTCGGTGGAGAGATGGTCCATTTTGGTGTCATGTGAAGATATTCAATACGTATTTGAATTGCTTTTAGTTTGAATGCACTGATACTGCAAAGGAAACTCATAAAGATGGAAAAAAATAGAAGCCGTTCCCTGGCTTTACGTAAAGATAAATGCACTGGATTTATCAAGGTCTTTGTACCAAAATATCTGAAGTGATCACACAATGGGTTTCGACTGCTGGTGCTGTGGTTGCATTTTAACTTAAGTGAAATAACTAACTTGAGTAAAATATATTCTGGCCAGCAGACGCTCTGCACATGAGCCAGGTGAGGATGGGCGAACTGGATCCCGGAATCTGGGTGCACATCCCATCTCTCTGCACCTACTGAACCCCACGCACAAATATGTGGCCCTTTGTTGCCTCAAACGTGGCTGATGTAAAGCAGTCAAAAGAGGAAGGCAGAGGATTCCCCTTGACACAATTAAAATAATCCATTTTGTCATGTGGGTATCACATCAATTACTATCACATTTTGTTAACGTGGCTCCGAGCCACTCGTAAGACACTATTTGCTAGTCTTTTAATTGTATCAGTAAAAACGAATTTCCTCCTGATATGGTAATTAAACTAAATATGTGATAATGCATTTGATTAGGGATGGGAAAACATAAGAGAAAATCAAAATGAAAGGACGCCGGGGAGCGCTTCCCCACGTGGTCCCTTCCCACCAGCTTCCTCTCCCCTGGAGGTCCCCCGTCGTCTTGTTCTGAGTTTCTCACACTGTTGGGCCCAGAAGCTCAACTCGGGAGCTAGTTCACAAAGGCTCAGCTTCGTCCCCATGGTAGGATTCCCGTGATGCCCAGGGGGACACACTGAGAGAAACCCACCCTCGGACCTGTCCTGGGGCAACCGTGGGAGCTTGTGGGGACCCGGCTTCTCCATGCCCCCACTTGGAAGAACGT